GCACTTTACTGCCATCCGCTTGGCCCTGGACAAAAACCAATCTCGTGTGGGCAGCTTACCTTACTCATGGTCAATGCTTATTAACATCCAAGTAAGTCAATCTATGTCTTCCCTAGCATCTGCTTGGTCATGGATGTCCCTGAACCCAGTCAAATTGAACATAGACATCATCTAATACAATGAGGCCCTTGCCAAATGAGAACCTGATATGAACTATTCCCAAGAAGAGGCTTTGTTGGTGAGGTTCCCTCCACCCAAGAAGATGGTTTTGGACTGCCCTTTGGTAGTAATAAATTCTGGCCATAGGATCATTCTCTGGTACATCCCTGGCACACTAAGTCCTTAGGTACAGGTGTGTTCCACAGGCAGCAGAATTCTTCTGAAGTAGTTGATGTCAATCCTGATAGAACAACATGTATATGGCCACCATTGCCATGGGTGATCTACTCAAGAAGAGTATCACCAACGAAGAATCCAGCAATTGGAAAACCCAAGGGTCCAACTTCCGACCTCCCAATGGTCCTAATTTAATCCCCAGCTACATCAACATCATGCCTTGTTGGTTCCAGCAAGGATATGAGGTCAGTCCTGCTGTCTGAACATCGACCATTATTGACAAGGCCCAGTGCTATGACCCTTCTCCTAAGAATCCAGATGAGGTGTTTAAACCTGTGGTATCTGCCTCCTTGAAGGGTGACAGGAGCTTGTCCATGATTATGAATATGCAGAGACCCGCCCTCCTCACTTCTGCCACCTTGTGGGTCATGTATCCTCAACTATACTGGGCTTCTGTCAGGACTTATATTGAATTCAGTCATTGGTCTACAGAGCAAGGCTTGCATAACATGCATCATTTGCTCAAGCATTGGGCTTCTGTTTACACCAGTGCTGCTATCATATGCAACCATCAGTCTCCCAAACACAGAGACCTCAAGTGTCCCCCTAAGGCATTTGACATATTGATGTCCATTGGGAGCTACCAACATGCTGTCATGCAGTTGACCAATCTCAGAATTAAGTTAATATACAACCCAGGCATCATGGTGAGTTATTCCAGTCGCCTCGTCAGACATGGCATCCATGTTGACCAAGGAGATCAGATGGTATGGGCTTGGTTCCTCTGGGATAGTGTGCACAACTACACCAGAACCCCTCACCCAGATTATGCTGTATACAATCCAGTTGACCTTGACACATACCAGTTGGCCAAGTACAACCAAGCTGATTTTGCTATGTATGGAAACCTGTAGATGCCTTTCCCAGCTTCACACCAACCCACCCCCATTCTTTACAATAGTAGGATATTTTGTCCTTTCACATCACTCCTTTACATACCAATACTCTCTCCTACCAATAATTTGACAACTTGATGCATCTTTAATACAATTATTCTTATTGAGACATTTGAAAGTGCATTCTACACCACCACCCTGGGCCTGGTGGTCATATTCTATAGCATTAAATTAACCTGACCATTGATCCTACATCACCACCTTGGGCCCAGTCATGAACTTCTATATCATTATATGGATCCGGGTGTCAGTTCTGCATCACTACCCTGGGCCTGACTGTTGATTACTCATTACCACCTTGGGCCCGGTCATCAACTTCTATGCCATTATATGGGCCCAGCTATCAATTCTATATCACTACTCTGGGTCTGGGCGTCACATTTTATATGACCTTATGGGCCCAACCATTAATCCTATATCACCACCTTGGGCCTGGTTGTCAACTTCTATATCATCATATGGGTCCAGCCATCAACTCTACATCACTACCCTAGGCCCAGTTGTCAACTTTTATACCACCATATGGGCCCACCCATCTATCCTACATCACCACCTTGGATCCAGTTGTCAACTTCTTTACTATCATATAGGCCCGATCATTAATACTACATCACCACCCTAGGCCCAGTTGTCAACTTCTATACCATCATATAGGCCTGGCCATCAAAATTCCACACCACTATATGGGCCCATCCAATCCTGTCCAAGTTGCTTGGACCTCCCAGCCCAACCATCAGCATCACTTTTTTATCATTGCATGCCTCTTGGGCCCAACCATCCTATTATCAAACTCCCAGTTGTCACTCATGGGCTGAGCTGTCAATATTGAGACCACTAATTACTATGGGCCCACTTGTCCATATTAGCCTGAACTTGCACCCAGGCCCACCTCATATGACTATGGCCCTCAGAAGAATCTCAACTTTGGGTGGCCATGTAACACAGGAAAAAGTTACTGAAGGGGCTCCAAGTTTAATGTCATCATCCAGAAAGAATTCCCAAAAGGAAGATATATAGGCCCCTTCCTTTTCACCAATCTTAAGCTTCTTATTGGTCCATTTCAGTCTTTCCCCTATCCATAATATCTAAGCCAGGCAAACCTGGCAAATTTAGACTTATTCAGAATTTCTCATTCCAACACTCCTCTAGCTCTGCTTATCCTAATCCTTCTATTGATTCCTTTATTGATGCCAACCATTTCCCTACTACATGAGGCAAGTCAGCAGCTCCCTCTGCAGGAGCTTATAGGCATGGAGATCATTAGGCATCATGACATTGGCCCTCTTGATAAATGGATTAATGACCATTTATTCATCTATATCTGGAAAGAATATTTAAAAGACTACAATCAGTACACCTATAGTTCAGACATACCTGATCTAATTAGATGTGACAGCTGGATGTGTTGGTGGGTCTAAGTTAAGTAGCTTTTGGTCGTACACATCCAAATTAATAAATATTCAATACTGCGTGTCCTTAGAGGAGGGAGACTGTATACTCAGAGGGTAGGTACCTATCCCTCCACTTGGCTATGCTCAGATGTGTGTGCCTATGCTTTATATTAGGCACTCTACTATTATTAGTACCGGTAGCTGTCAGACATGTCACTGCTATCAACATTGGAACCTATGTGCTCACTGTATGCAACAGTAAGCTCATATATTTCACAACTGGATGTATGGATTTGAGGTGAACCTTTTTATATAGGTAGAGACTGATAGTTGCAAACATTATTAGGCAGAATATGAGGATTCAAACACTATGGTCTATGATATCAACAACTAAGCTTCTTCCTTGCTAGTGTCCTCCTCCTCAGATGTATCAACAAACTCTGAGCTTTTTGGAGCCTGGGCAGATATCCTAGAGGCTCATACATGCTTGATTAGATGAACATTCTCCTTGTCCTTCCATTTGTGAGCTACCCCTGCATCAGAGTGCTTCTTGCAAAGCTTGTCAATGACCTCTCCTCTTTTGTGACATGTAGCAAGTACTATGATAAACTCATCCTGCTGTTGAGGAGTCATGTGGAACTAGCAGCAGGAGCCCTTCCTCAGTATATCATGCAGCTTCTGAAGAGTGTTGAGATTGTTGATACTGGTGGGAGACTGGATAAAGGCTTAATATACTCGCACAGGTCTAGAACAAACAGACACTCTCAGTTGTGTGCATGAAGGCAAACATCTAATATATTCACCTAGAACAAACAGACACTCTACTTGGAGTAAGTAAAGGTGAATATATGAAACTGTAAGTATCTTACCTCAGTTGTGTGTGTGAAGGCAAACATCTAAGGTGGTAATCTGAATCTATAGCTAACTAAATACTTGAAGTGTTCTTGTGTAAGTCAATAAGTATCTGAGACTAGAACACAAGGGTGTATGGTGCTGGCCCATGTAATCAATACATTCAGTAGGTACAAGGAACAGAGAATAACAAGAACGGATAAAAGAGACGTACAAGTCACCTGACATAACAAATGAGAACAAGATCAAACAATGGCATGCCTCAACTGCAAGTGCACTTGCTCATTTCCAACACTGGAATGGAACATCCTTGGGCCAGCCCCTTAGATCAATCTCAAGCTTCTTCTTGATGGCTATATCAAAGTTTGTAGAGTGGATACAGATGTCACATCTCTTTATTATAGCCCCTAAAAAGTGGCAGTTAATATTGGTTTTAGTGCAATAAGGACAAAAATTGTGCTTAGCCCTGAGTTAAGGAGCCATGTGGAAATGTGTTGCATGTTTTGCACCATTTTGCATTCATTGATGCCTGGTATGCAGAAGTTAGTATATGTATAACTTGAAGTGAGAACATGTGACAAAAACATACTTTGACCCAACACACCCATTGTTCTAGTTTTCTTATGATTTCATCAGCCTCAGTTTGAAAGACATCCTCCCAGAAGTCCATCACATTGTCCATCCTGAACCATGTTATCTGGGTGGTATCATATACATGTCCACATGAGGTGAAGACACATGCATAGATTCTAGTTTGAACTGCAAGACTATCAAGCTAGTCATTTGTCAGCTAAGTATTAGATTGGTGTGAAATCAAAACTTACTATTTTAAAAATGATGTCCAAAGTTGATTGGATATCACATGCTGCTGCTGAGTTGGTGGCATGAACACTTATGTTATGGAGTGCTCAATGCTCATTGAGTCTGTCAATATATTCTTGCTGATCCTCAATGTCCAGGTTCTGTATGCTCTCATTAGACTTCACTATGTTTTGGATCTTGTAAAGTGAGTATTTTGTAGAGTCAGGTCAATCTGTTGTTTCAATCAGGAAATGATGACACCTGAAAGCACAGCAACTCACCTGCATTGACTTCCTAAGCTTTGTATGAGAGCATTGGCAAGTTGAACATTTTGATGCTATTTGTAGTGTTTTTTGCCTCTCATGAGCTTCTTCACCTTATCTTCAGTGATGCTGTGTTCAAGTGTGAGGGAGTTAATCTTCTTGTTATTATCTGAGAACAGTCACTGGATGGCAATATGCAGCCCATCTTTGGCCTCCTTACATTGTTGTGATGAAATCTTATGGGATACTCTTTGTGCATTGGCACATGCCTTCTGAGCAGCATCGAGGGACACATGAGGTGTGAGTACTGGCTGGTTGGGGTTTCTTGTGGCCCATGAGAATTTATTGGTATTAGGAACCATTTTACCAGCACTTTGTGTCACAATAACTGGGATAAAAGATGGCCAGACTATGATTTGAACCCAGAATCTTCTAGAGATGCACCAGGAGCTCTAACTACTGAGCTACTAGGCCTTAGGTATCACTGAAGTGCTAAGCCTCTTGACTACATGTGACCGCTGATGTCTTATCACAGAGTATATCATATGGGCATCAGGTGTGTCTTATATGAGTGCAAAGCATCACAGTATACAGGGCACACCATGAGTCAGGGCTTGTTAGATGAGAACAGATCATCAACTAACACTTCCCCCTAATCCAACATATCTAAATCCACAAGGGTTATAGGGCCCATAACCTATTAGAATAACTGGAAGAACTAAGTTGCAAGTGAGCTGATGAGAGTGAATATCATGTATCATATCAGCCCCTAATCCATCTCTGCATTTCCACTTAGCCAGCCAGACTCCAGACCCATCTCCTATTATTGGACCTATCAACTTCAGTTAGCTAAGACACCCAGGCCTCCAGACTTATTACACCAGGCTCACCCAGGAACCAGCCCCACAGACCCAGTCTCACTTCTATGACCAACCTGACCAGTCACATGTCTGGTGTGGGTACAACAAATAGAGTAGAGGGATACAATGAACTACTCCAAAGTTGGGTCTTTGCTACTAGGAAGTAGTCTCTATCTAGAATGACCCAATAGGATCCTACCACTGGTAGGATGAAGGATCCACAAAAGCAAATGAAAAGCAGATAGGAAGTGTATCAGATGGATGTCAGATTGTTGTATGAGTATATTAAAAAGCAATAGATACAAGCCTAACATAGAAATGCTCCCCACACTGGACCTCTGGACTTCCTTTTATAGATTAACCCCTGTCTCCAGTCCTTGGCTCTGTATATATCTGTCTGCTGACTGATCTGTGTTTCCTAGTCAATCTCTGACTTGATTTTTAATGATCCAATAGACTTTCCATATGCTCATCCATAGCCTTTTCCATTTCTGTTTACTGATCCACTAGACTACCTATAGTATATAAACCTCTTGTACATCCCTGTAGTACCTCAGTACAAATATAAACTAGAATCTAACTCCTGTCAAGACTCTACTGTTCCTGTGCTCACTCTGTTGACTCGGAACTAGTTTCCATGTCTATTCACTGTTTTTTCCTCTAAGTCCAGCTGGTTCCTGCACCATCCAGTTGGTTCCCACCACTGTGTCTACCAGTTCTTGCACCTTTAAACCTTTGGTCTTTGGCCCTATATCATTAGACCTTTGACTCTGCCTGTGGCAGTCTTTTTTTAATCTTCTATTCCAGACTACAGTCCCAATAGTCCTTACTTTACTTTGACCTGAGTAGATACTATTCCATAGTCATAGGTTTTCTGGACTACTTCCATATACATCTAGACTTTAACCCCTATCTGCTGAAACTTCTGGACATAATTTCTGCCCTCTGAAATTAGTAGCCATATCTGGTATTTGGTACAGGTGTTAAGGCCGTGCTTAAGGAGAAGACTAAATCCAAGCGCCTTGGCTTCAGCTTGTGTACTGCACCCCTTATCCAAGTATGTGCCCCTAATTTACTGGGGGGTCCAGTAGTACTAATAGGTCTGGTCATATGTGACCCAATAGGAAATGGAAATGGGGGTACCGGAGTTCTGAGATATGACAACAGAGCACAGCACACAAGCTGAAGCCAAGCCTGCTCAATCCAGCACCCTCAGAGCCATGGTTCTGATAGTAAACAGGACTATGTCCAATGTCAGTTGCTATTCAGTTGTGTATACTAAAAAGTGTACTGTACCTATGTTCAGTGTCAGTTGCTAAAGAGAAACTAACACAGGACTGGCTACCTATGAGTGAAGCTATGTAAATAAGTGTAAACAATATCTAATAAAGTAAGTCACATCATATACCAAGTAAGAGTCCAATAGAGTAAGCAGCATTATAAGACAAATAACTTGCAACATAAGGTGTCCAATCACCATAACTAACAACAAGGTGCAGAATGTCACCAAGCTGCCAGAGAGGAAGGAAACCAAATCCTCTTCAAAATCATCCATGATCCAGTTGCAAACAATTGAATGACAACACTTTAAATCCATCTTAACCAACCATGCAAATACTGTAAATCCCCAACAATACAAATCCAGTCTCACTCATGCTCTGTCACAGCTGTGCCCTCATTGCCTAGCGTAAAATAGGCTACAGCTATGGTTACCAGCAGAAGAGAACTCTTGAAAAATGACAACTGTTGACAATGCACATGATATTTTATCTATCTCAGACACATAGCTAGATCATATTCTGGAAGTCATGGGGTCTTTGTGAGCCTCCTCCACAAAGAAAACTTACAGAGTGGAATTATTAGTATTCCATGTATATTATGATTCACTTCAAATCACAGAAGAACAGCACTTTCCCATATCACTCACTTTATTCCTTGCTTTTCTATCAAGTTGTGCCAGTTCATATTCAGGATCTGCATTGGGAAATTTCACACCAGACTTGAAAACCTGGCATCTATTACATGGATGACTTTGGCTAATACCACCAGCCAATGAGCTAAAAGCTGTCCTAGAAGGTGCAACCACTGTTGCTCCACCATCATCTGTATGCAAAAAGTGTACCCTCCTTCATCCTAGACATTATCATCAACATCCATAAACATATGGACCTCAATGATCCCAAAAATATAGCTATATTTGCTTGCATTACTGTAGCCTTTTATTTAATTGTGTATCTAGGTGAACTCACCGTTCCTGCAATGAAGGACTTTAGTTCAATGAAACATGTCACATGTGGAAATATTTCCCAAGGGGAAGACCAAAACCAGCTCATAGTTACCAAATTCCATCTGTCACAAATGAAATTGTCACCCAGAGTGTCATATCCCATATCTCTGACACCTGTAAACCTTTCCAGCAGTGTGCTTCCTCTGGACCGCCGGACCTGATCTCCGGACAGGTCTGCTCCACCAGACCTAACCCTGATTGAGAATCCCCCTTACCTCCGGCCCTCCGGCTTCTGTTGATATCCGCCTGCTTATTGATATCCGGTACCTGTTTCATTTCCGAACTCATTTCCCTATGATCTGTCTTACTTTACTTGATCCGCTCGGACTTACTAATAGACTCATCATATGCTTTCCTCACTACCTCTGTACTCCGGATTACTGATCAGTTAGTATACCTACAGTATATAAACTCCTGTACTTTGTTGTAACACCTCAGTTCAAATATTATACATAGTTCTGCTCATTCCTGTCTCTCTGGACTTGAGTTCTCTGACTCTTGTCAATCTCTGACACTAGACTAGGGTAGACCCCTAAGTCTATTTCTGTTACTGGTTCTACCTCCAGGTAGTCTATTCCTGTTCTTTTCTGCTACCGGCTCCGGCCTTAAGCAGTCTAACCCTTCAATTAATATCTACTGTACTACCGGGTTACATACAACTGGACTTAGTACTACTGGACCCACAGAAATTAGGGGCACATACTCAGGTAAGGGGCGCAGTGCACGAGCTGAAGCCAAGCCCCTCAGATCATAGTCCTCCCTTGAGCATGGCCTTAATACAGAGAAGGTAAGGATATATATTAGGCAGAGCAGGAAGGCTCATCAGATCTAAAAGTAGTATTTGAAAACCACCTTTTTTTTGTGTTCTTGTTTATTGTCCAGTGGGGCGAAGCCCTATAGTAGACAATACATGCAGTATATACTTTGGTCATTTTGATTCCTCTAGATTTACATGGAGACTTCTTTATTGGTCCAAGCGGGGGCAAGGACGTGCGCACCAGCTGAAGGTGTGTGGTGTGATGTTGCTGGCATCGTGGATTAGCAATTTCTGTTCTGTTCTTCTTCTATTGGCTGGGGGGGTTGATGTCTCCAAAGACTTGTTCCATTCTTCTTGTGCATGTGATATAGTGGAAAAAAGGCTTTGTGCAATTGTGGTTGCTGAGAAGTTGTCACATCTGGGTTGCGTGGTGGCCAAGCTCCACATGGAGTGCCGCCCACTGCCTTGAGTCTTTGGGGCAAACTAGCAGGAAGTGCTTGATAGTTTCTTTGTGTGCATTGCATTTCAGGCAGCGTGCTGTTGGGGATTTGGAGATGCAGTGGAGATGCTTATTGAGTGAGATGTGACCTGTATGGAGCTGAAACAGGAGTGAGCTATGGCACCGGAGAAAGTCATCTATAAGGTTGGTGAAGTACTTGGACAGGGCAGACAGGTCTATTGTGCGGAGCATTTGGTAGCATGGTGACTGTTGCATCATGGATTTTACTTCACTTTTTATTATGCCATAGGAGTGTTGTTTCGTTGCTGATTTGCTGAGTGGGAGCATTGTCGGATTGTATGGTCTCATTCACAGTGATCTGGGGAGATGGTTACCCTCCATGGACTCTCCTCTGGCAGCCCTCTTGGCCTGCTCATCAGCTGCCTCATTCCCTGCAATGCCCTTGTGGCCTGATGTCCACCTGATGGTGAGTTTTCTTTCATCGTCATTGGGAAGCAGGGATCTGAGGTCGTCGTGGAACTTGTTGACTAGGTAGTGTCCCAGTTGTGAGTGGAAGGCGCCTGTGGCCTGAATTGCTGCTTGATTGTCCACTCCTAGTGCCATGGTTCCTTCTCCTCCCACCTCTTTCATCAGTTCTACTGCTAGGATTATGCCCACCACCTCTGCCTCACACACGGTATGATCCCTATCGCTTCCTAGGTTGAACCTTCTCTCTTTGACCATCTCCTCCCCTTTCATGAGCACTGCTACTCCATCTACTCCTCCATCTACTGCCGATCCGTCTGAATAGACCCTTAGGTCCTTGTTGGCTTTTTCTTCCTCCTTAATTGTGTCCTTCTCTTTTGCTGCTATGCTGATGATGGTGTCTGGTTCCCACTTGGGGAAGTGACGGATAGGTGAGATCTTTTCCATTGTGCCTGGGTTTACTTTGAACTCATTGAACAGTTTGTGCAGTGGGGACAGGTGTTTCTTTTGTCCCTGGAACCCTCTCTTTTCACAGAAGTTGAAGGCTGCTTTGATGCCTTTTGCTAGTGGGTGTTCATCCAGCAGGGTGGACATTCGGAGTGTGGTGTGGTAGCAGATCTGTTTATTGGAATGGTAGTACATTGG